GTGTGGTCATTGTATAAAAACCTCACATGTATTGATTTATATCGGCCCAATTCGATATTGTTCATTTTTCAATATTCAATCAAAACCGGTTCTATATCCATTTCAAATGATACAGTATTTGTTTAGTGTCATTATTATATTAATTAAAACCTTAGTTCGGCACCAATAATATAATACTCGTATTAATGATTTGTTTTTAATCAGGGCCGTCTAATGAATTTGGAGGCCCCGGTGCAAAATGTAAAATCGGGGCCCCACATTAAATAAAAAACTAAGAAAAAAATCTCAATTCAAATACTTATACTCAAACCAATGGAATATTCATTAGAAGAGAGCTAAAAAAGTAAAAGGACCAACGAGAAAAATGATGTATCTATATTTTTCTTCTTTACTAGCTAACTTTTTCTACTGATTAGTATTAGTATACAATATTACTATATAATACTAATAAGTTTTTAAAAATATGGGGCCCTTTAAATTTGGGGGCCCTGTTCTGGATAACCTATTGAACCCCCTAAAAAACGGCCATGTTTTTTATGTCCACCCCTAAAAATATAGATAGATCGTGTGTGCACCTGTATTTGAGTAATCTAAAGATAAAATGACTCAAACAAGACTAAAATATTACGGTAAAAGTACAAAAATAGGACCATATATTTTCAACCATTTAATTGTAGGAGTAAATTGGAGTGACTTTAAAGTGCTCTCATTCTAAAATATCATGTGTACTTTCGATCTAGTTAGAATGTCATTTTTAAACAAGAATTTCATCGTGATGAAGATGTAGGTACTATGATTATCAAATAACAATGTCATCATGAGGTGAAGTTATAAAAGTTGAGTCAAATTGTCTAATGTCATTTTAACAGGAAAAATAAATAATATCATTTCAATGGATCGGATATTTGTTGGCGACATATTGGTTAACTGAAACATGCTACGGAGTATGACATATCAACAAAAAAGTGTCATCTAAAGTAGTGATAAAAATAAGAAAAATAAGAGTATTTCACAAAATGTCATCTCAAATTGAATTGTACTATGCAAATGTGAATTAATTAACTTAAATAAGAGTATGCTAGATATTTAGATATGACACAAGGATGACAAACTCTGAACAGAAGAAAAAGAGTAATGAATTTGGAGGCCCGGTTCCGCATGACGAATTGAAACCCCTTAAAATAGAAAGAATACAAAAATTAACAATAAAGTAAATATAGACGATTTTATAGTAAAACATAAGTTTTATAATGTTTAATGTACACAAATTGGACAATTTTATAGTTGTACACATTTGAGAATCTGAAATAATACATAACATCTAAAAAAAACAACCTATAAATACCAGTGTTTTAAATAGCGGTCCGCTACCGCTATAGCGGCCACTATATAGCTATGTTTAAAAAACCGACCCGACCCGGCCGGGTTGACCCGGAACCCGGTGACCCGGACAAAAAACCGGTTCGGTTTTTTCAAAACCCGGAAATGGTAAAAAACCGGAAAAACTCGGCTGACCCGGGAAAACCCGGTCAAGACCCGGACCCAAGAAACCCGAAAACCTAGTAAAACCCAGTTTAGGGTGTTTTTACTAAAAAAAAGTAATTTCTTTTTTATTTTTAATGCATTTTTTATACCAATAAAATTGCAATTTCAATACCTTAAAAAGAAAAACTACGTAATATATTTATATATTTATTTAAGAATGAACATCATGCCGAATTATAATATAGATGTACAATAAAAATAAAAATATCATTATATATTTTTATAAGATCAAAATATACATTGAAATATTACAAGAGTGTATTAAATGTTTAATAAGTAGTATTGTTAGTTGATTATTATGAATAACAACTAATTTTTATTATAATTTTATATATAATTATATGTTTACTATTATTATATAGACGTACAATCATTGAACGGTTTTCCGGCGTTGACCGGGTTGACCTACCGGGTCCGGGTTGACCTGTGACCCAGTCATGTGGCCGGGTCACTCTCCGGTCCGGTTTTTACAACATAGCTATATAGCGGTCGCGGTAGGTATCGCTACCGCTACGGGCCGCTATCAGGGTGTGATTTTCAAATCACAGGAAAATTCCACTACGCCGCCCGCTACAGCCCGCTAGCGGCACTTCCGGCAGCACATCATGAACTGATTGATGTGTAAATGTGTAAATGTTGTGTGCACGATGTGGAAAAATACATTAATGGTGATGCATGGAGTGAAACTCTAAATTAAATGTACATGTATCCTCATACATTATGGTAGCAAATATTAATAAATATCTAAATTTTAATTATTAAAACCAAATTAATTATTAATAAGGATGATTTAAGTTTAATATCGGTTGACGAAAAAGATGTGACTTAACAAAACCATTTGGAACGGAAGTGGTATTATTATGCATTATGCAAGTTGCAATGCATAGTCCACTTCTTAAAATTTGATTGTGAAAGGATAACAATTTTTTTATATAAGTAATATATTTTCGAGATGGATGAGTATATCTCTTTATTGAAAATATATGTTTTGCGCTTTTGAAAATATTTCACGCCGCTGCAACCGCTACACGCGGCTACAGGCCGCTAAAGGCCGCTACCGAGATGACCGCTACCGCTGCCGTTACGGCTATTTAAAACACTAATAAATACCAATGTTCTAAAAGGCGCTAGGCGCTAGTCGGGCGCTAGCCCAGCGCCTAGCGCCTAGTCGGCTAGGCGGGCGCCTAGGCGGGGACTAATCGGAGACATCGAAATTGTAGTTTTATCAATATTTTTGCATAAATATGATTAGTAATGTTGTATTTGTGTGTGTATAAAAAATATATACACACATACACATTAACATGCATGAATGATAGAGTTATCACATTTAATAATATATTATATCTACTCACTTACTCACTAGTAGCTTTCTTCACATGCATTGTCAAAGTTAAATGTACATATTTCTTAGGATACTAAAATAAAAAGGCAAAAAAACAAATTGTTCGATGAATCTAGACGCCTAGGCGGCCCATTAAGCGCTCTGGGCGGGCAACTAGGCGCCCTAGACGGCCGGCGAATTCACCTAGGCGCCGATTCAATTAGTCGGAGCGCCTAGACCAAAATCGGGGCGCCCGACCACCGCCTAGCGCCTACGCGGGGACTTGTCGGGCGCCTAGAGCGATTTTTAGAACAGTGATAAATACTACTCCTTCCGCCAGCTAAGATTGTCCCATTTTTCCTTTTTTTGAAGTCACGAAAATTGTCTCATACCAAATCTGGTAAAGTTTTGTGTGTGACTATCAATCATTTTCACTTAATTTTTATTTTTTCAATTCCATATCAACCACACTAATTCACTTTTTTGAATAGCTATGTCACCCCGTCATTCTCAATGTTAGTGGACAGAGGGAGTACTACATATTGTACTAAATTTTGGGGGCGCCCTATAAAAATGGTCTCCGGTGCCAAGCTGGAGCGGATTCGGGATTTAAGGTCAACGGGGGCGTAATTTTTTCCGCTAGTGCCAGTGTTGGCTAGGGGCGGATTTATTTCACTACTGTAGGGCTCTGTTATTTATTTTTATTAAAAGAAAATCCATTAGTACATACATGACATTTAAATCTGCTACAGTCTAAGTTTAAACAATCGGAAAAATAATTTTAATTTTTAATTGAAGTGTTCTAGAAGAACTGTTGGTTCATTAAAGCGTAAAAATAGCAAATCAAAGGAAAATTATTTGAAAAAAGAGGATACAATTTTATCAAATTATTTGAAGATAAAAGAATCTAAAATGTACACATTCATCAATACTTTTTAAATAACGTATGCCTTGTTTAACCGCATGAATCTTATCTGAATGAAGAATTAATTTTTCAATTACACTTTTTGTCTCACGGGGGACGAACACATATACATCTAATTAAAGCATGAAAATTTTATGAAAATATTACATACATAATATTTAATAGAAAATTTTGAAAGTCTAAATGGACGGTTGGCCCTCGCGCCCCCCTTAAATCCTTCCCTGAGACCTGCACAAAAGCGGGTTCGAGCCGGGCTCGGGCCGGGCTTTCCATAAGTTTTCTGCCCATCGTGTGTAGGCGGGCCTGGCCCGGCCCGCAAAAACGGGCCTAATCCCATGTCCATACCCGCCCGTAAGAGCGGGCCGGGTAGTCCACCGGGCCGCCTGGCCCAGTAAAACTTTAAATTTTTCAAAATTATATAATTTATTTAATACTTTATAAATAATATTACAACATTTAAAAAATTGCTAATACGCTTATAATGTATATAGGCCTTTCATCACATACACAAAAAAATATTTACACAAAAATAATAATGAGAAACTATATCTAAAACTTAAAATTCAAGCACAAAGTATTGTCTTTAAGTACAAAAATAGATATTATATTGGTTGGACTATTTGTTAAGAACTAAAAACTTAAATTTAAACATAGTATAAATATGTATACAGATAAATTAGTAAATATGAAAATATAGAAGTGTACATGTAAATAAATACATAAATTCGTATATATAAAAATATATATGTGTATATACTAAATGTAGCGGGCCGGGCTTATCGGCCCGAACGGGCCTACACCCTAACCCAAGCCCGCCCATATGTTGTTGCGGGCCGGGCCCGGGCCGGACCGGTGGGTAAATATATATGTCCAAGCCCACTAATTTGTGCGGGTGGGCTGGGCGGGCCGGGCGGGCCGGCCCGGTTTTGTACAGGTCCTTAAGGACGGCCCTGCTATTTGACATTTGACCATATATTTAGTCCTATACTCTTTGCTATGCTATATAAGGCAAATTATTTAATCTAAACAGTAAACACGTGAGAATGGTGATCAAGTGCATGCAGGTATGGTGCTGCTGCGCTGTCTACAGCTCAAATCACAGTCAGCACCAAAACTTGATCATATCCGGCCACAAGGATATATGCAATGGCGTCTATAAAACGTTCCAATTGCCACTTCCCATCGGCATGTAATTTTGTACTAGAAGCTTTTTTCGTGAACAAAGGCAAGCCCTTTCCCTTGCTTTCTTCTCGTTTTTTCCAACATTCTTTCACTCGGAATAGAGCCTTTTGAATCCCATTTTTCATAGCCTAATGGGAACTCCATCCCTTGTTTAGAACTTTTTCCACACTTTTGGTCCCTTATATATTTTCCTACTCATGTGCTCTTTAGCACCCCAACATGGTTTCCTTTTAAGTGAATTATTTGTAAAAATTGTGGTTGACATTGTTCCCTTGCGTGCAGAGTTGTAATGGATTTGTTCACCAGTTATTCTGTGGAAACTACAACTAATGATGAAGGCATCGATAAGTCCACATACTTTATGCAAACCCTTCATGGCTGCAGGCTTGCTGTGGCGGTTGTCATTCGCAAAGATGGGGACAACTATGATTGTGACATGAGTATGTCTTGGAAAAAATTTCTAAAAGCTTCTGGTTATGACCACATATTCCCCCTCCATTTCGAAAACAAAACAGAGTTGGAGCATAAACTAAGCTGGTTTGTGCATCAAGATCTACCCATGACTTACAATAATGCAGGTTTGTTACTTAATTATACATCACTTCTAGTGGTTAAATTTTTTTTAAAGTACCTCTCGAAACCGTCTCTTTGTTCTTTAGTACATAGGTAAGACTGCGTACATCCGATCCCAACTTACTGTAGGTGGAAGCCTTTGTGACATTGAGGTAATGACGAGGATGATGATGATGATATCATTCCTTCCTATTACTTAATTTCAATATTCTTGTTGCACATTCGCAGGATGCCCAAAGTCTCTCACTGTCCATTTTCCAGATGTCCTGCAATTCACACTTGCTTGGTTTCTTATTGACATCAAAGAGCCTCACATCGCCGTACATATTCAAACCATTTTTAATTCAACTTGCAGTAATTTATTGTTAATTTTATTTCACTAACAACTACGTACATTGTTTGTTATTTTTCATTTAGAAAATCCCTAGTTGTATGCAAAGGCACCTCTTTGAACACACCAAATCAGAGGCTCTCCTTGTACACGGACTTGGCCAGTGGAATGTCATATTTGACAACTTCTCTTTTTGTGATGGCTTTGATCAGTTCATCATAGACAACAATATCCTCTTGGGTGGCTATGCTCTATTCAGACACATCGGTAATTTCACGTTTGAAGCATTCGTGTATGACGAGAATGGCTTTTCTGTCAAGCCAAGTTACTCACCACCTGCTTATTCTTTCCTGAGCTCAAGGAGACCAGGTGACAATTTCGCTCCTTTAGTGGATCCTTAAGCTCAATTACCCTCATTGACTAACTTTTCCGGTTTATTGCAGATGAGTTCAACGTCAGCGTGCGCTCCTCTATTCCAGACTTCGCATGTAAACAGCTCTTATATATATATGCCATCAAAAACCACAAAGGTGATTTTTTTTAACTTCAAGCTACTTATATGCCCTATGTGTATCGAAAAATCCCATTTAATGACTAGAATCACCATGCGCGTGATAGTGCCACTTCATATCATGTTATCGGATAACCCGCTTTCCTGTGTTGAAAAGTCAACGACTCTCTAGAATCTTCTAGAATCTTCTTTATTAAGTTCTCTAGAATCTTCTATAATCTTCTTTATGAATTCTAGGAAGTGTAGAATTCTCTAGATAGAGTATTGAATGAGAGTTAGATAGAAATACTCTAGAATGTAATAGATGTGAGAATAATCTAGAATGTAATTAATGTGGAAGGATCTAGAAACACTCTCATCTCCTTAGGCTAGCTAGTATAAATAGAGGTGGATGGACACAACTCCATCACCACCAAGAGAGTGAAGCATCCTCAAGAGTGAGAGTAAGAGAGACTCCCCACCTTTGTACTCAATATTTTACATTAATAAAATTGTCTTTTATTCCTCCAAATCTCAACAAGTGGTATCAGAGCCGGTGATCGGGGGCGATTGTCCGTGAAGAGTTAAGGCGACGCAGAGGTACTATTAGTGCACAATCTGGGATTGTGAAGTCGATTGGTCTGGGACCAAACTTGCTTGGAATATTGATCGTCATATATTCAAGTCACTATGGATATCTCTAATTCAGTAAGTGGCGTCGAAAAACTTAACAATTCCAACTACAACACTTGGAGTGTTCGTATGCAATTTTATTTGCTTGGACAAGATTTGTGGGACATCATTAGTAATGACAACACATCGCCACCCACAAATGCGGAGGAATTAAGGAAATGGAAGATAAAAGCGGGGAAGGCCATGTATGTTCTATCCGTAACAATTGAAGACGAGTTGTTGCAGCACATCAAAGATGCAAAAACTCCGAAAGAGGCATGGGATACTTTGGCGGCACTTTTTGCTAGGACGAATGATGCGAAGCTCCAACGGTTGGAAAATGATCTTCTCTCGGTCTCTCAACAAGATATATCGGTGAGTCAATATTTTAATAAAGTCAAAGCAATTTGTGACGAAATATCAAAATTAGATCCGCAAAATGCCATCACCGATACAAGAAAAAGAAGAATCATAATCCATGGGTTAAGACCGGAATTTAATGGTATTATTACCGCTACCCGTGGATGGGCAAAAGAGCCAACTCTAACGGAGCTAGAGAGCCTATTAGCCAACCAAGAGGCTTTAGATAAACAAATATCTAAAGTCTTAATCAAAGAGGATGAGACCGCCTTATATAGCAATAAAAGGAGTTTCGGGCGAGAGAGAAGAAGCGCAAGACCAACAAATATAAATCCACATAATGAAGATTGGCGAAAGAGGCCACAAGGGAGCTCTCATCGAGGGGGAGCTAATCAAGCCCGTCATGATAAAAATAAAGAAGAGAAGAAGTACAGACGGAGCAACGACCAGTGCTACAATTGCGGGAAGAAAGGTCATTTTGCTAGAGATTGCAGACTTCAAAGAGTTGAAGGAAATGCAGCAACATCAACTCTAAAGGAAAGCAATAGTGAAGAAGAATGGGATTTTCAAGTGGCCTATGCAGTGGACAATGATCAAGAACTTGCAGCTTCTTGCATCATTGAAGAAGAGGAAAAAGAAGAAACGGCTCTTGTCACGGTGAGTGATAGATTCATAAATTATGAAAATGACTGGATAGTAGATTCTGGGTGCTCCAATCACATGACGGGTGACATGACCAAATTAGAAAACATCAACAAGTATGAAGGACGACGAGTTGTCGTCACTGCAAACAACTCAAAACTACCTATCACTCACGTTGGCCAAACAAAGATTACTCCCCGATTTAATGCTGAGCAAGTGGAGCTTCAAGATGTCATGCACGTGCCAGGTATGAAGAAGAATTTACTATCGGTGTCACAACTCACAAGATCTGGAAAATATGTGGTGTTCGGCCCAGACTATGTTAAAGTATATCGACATCTACAAGAAAATGAGGAACCGATCATGGAGGGACGAAGAGTTGAGTCTATCTATGTAATGTCTGCACAAACGGCATATGTAGATAAGACACGGAAAAATGAGACACCAGACTTGTGGCACGCACGTCTTGGGCATGTGAGTTACAAGAAATTAAAGGTGATGATGAAGAAGGAAATGCTAAAGGGTCTCCCCAAACTAGAAATCCACGATGATGTGGTTTGCGCTGGGTGTCAATATGGAAAAGCTCATCAGCTTCCATACGAGAAGTCAAAGTTCAGAGCCAAAGCGCCGCTAGAGCTAATACACTCAGACGTATTCGGGAAGGTAAAGCAACCTTCAGTTTGCGGCTTCAGGTACATGATTACATTCATCGATGATTTTTCAAGATTTGTCTGGGTTGATTTTATGAAAGAAAAATCAGAAGCTTTAAACAAGTTCAAGGTATTCAAAGAAAAGGTTGAGGCAGAAGTTGGCCACAATATCAAGTGCCTACGCACAGATAACGGGGGAGAATACACGTCTGAAGAATTTAATAAATTTCTAAAAGAGTGTAAAATAAGAAGACAATTCTCATGCCCAAGTACGCCTCAACAAAACGGGGTTGCAGAGAGAAAGAATAGACACTTGGCAGAGACTGTAAGAAGTATGCTGCACTCGAAGAATATACCCCCACGGTTTTGGGCCGAGTGTATGAAAACGGCAGCCCATGTGGTTAACAGGTTGCCGCAAGCAAAGCTTGGATTCATTTCACCATTCGAGAAATTACAAAATATCAAGCCCACAGTAAGTCACTTCAGGGTGTTTGGTTGTGTATGCTACGTATTTGTTCCTGATCACCTACGTAGCAAGTTTGATAAGAAGGCAATCCGTTGCATATTCGTGGGCTATGACGATCAAAGGAAAGGATGGAAGTGTTGTGATCCCACTACCGGAAAGTGTTACACTTCCAGGAATGTGGTATTCGATGAAGCATCATCGTGGTGGGCATCTCAAGAAATTGTTCTTCCAGAGTCACAAGAAGTTGAAGAAATCTTAAAAGAACATGAAGAAGAAAAAGGTGACGCAAATGAAGAACCACCTGAGATTTATAAAGGTCCATGGCAAACTGGAAGTCATGACCCGATTATTGAAGAAGAGAGGCCAAATCAGTATGAGGAATTTGAAGAGCCAAATGAGTCTCTCCGAAGGTCGACAAGAAGAAGGAGGCCAAACCCAAAGTATGCAAATGCGGCACTAATGGAAGACAATGGGCCAAAAGAACCAGTTACTTTCAAAGACGCCTCACAAAGTCCCGAATGGAAAAAGGCAATGGAAGAGGAGATCAAGGCCCTTAGAGAGAACGAGACTTGGGAGTTGGTTCCTAAACCCAAAGAGGTACGTCCAATAACTTGTAAATGGGTTTATAAGTTGAAAACTCGGCCAGATGGATCAATTGAAAGATATAAAGCACGCCTAGTCGCTCGAGGTTTCTCTCAAAAGTATGGCCTTGATTATGATGAGACGTTCAGCCCAGTAGCAAAGATCACTACTGTACGAGTCCTACTAGCACTAGCAGCAAGACAATCTTGGAAGTTGTGGCAAATGGACGTCAAGAATGCTTTCTTACATGGAGAGCTAGATCGAAGCATCTACATGGAGCAACCTGAGGGATTTATAAGCAATTCACATCCAGAGTTTGTGTGCAAACTCAAGAAAGCATTATACGGATTGAAACAGGCACCACGAGCATGGTATGGGAAGATAGCTGAATTCTTGGTACAAAGTGGTTACTCAATTGCTCCTTCTGATTCAAGCTTGTTTGTGAAATATATCGGTGGGAAAGTATCGGTCATATTGATATATGTGGATGATCTAATCATCACCGGGAATCATGAGAAGGAGATCAATGAAATACGAGGAAATTTATCAGTGAGGTTCCAAATGAAAGAGCTTGGAGAACTACAACATTTCTTGGGCCTTGAGGTTGAACGAACTAAAGAAGGAATATTCTTGTGCCAACACAAGTATGCAAAAGACACACTTGAAAAGTTTGGGATGCTTGATTGCAAACCGATATCAACTCCTATAGAGCCGAATGTGAAGATGTGCACAGTTGAAGGTCGAGAATTAGAGGACTCCACAATGTACAGACAACTTGTTGGAAGTCTTATCTACTTAACAATCACAAGGCCGGATATCATGTTCGCGGTAGGAGTAGTGAGTCGGTTCATGGAGAAGCCAAGGAAGCCACACTTAGATGCAATCCGGCGCATAATGAGGTACATAAAAAGAACTTTGGATTTCGGCATATTGTATAAAAGAGATGCATCATTTGAAGTGGTAGGCCATTGTGATGCTGATTATGCTGGAGATCATGATACTCGTCGCTCTACCACTGGTTACACATTTAGTCTTGGGACGGGCACTGTGTCATGGTGTAGCAAAGGACAACCAACAGTGTCATTATCAACTACAGAAGCAGAATATAGAGCAGCAGCTATGGCAGCTCAAGAGAGTGCATGGTTGATGCAACTTCTAAAAGATCTTCATCAACCAACTGACGAGCCAATAACATTACATTGTGATAACCAATCAGCAATACGGCTCGCGGAGAACCCAATCTTTCACGCAAGGACAAAACATGTGGAGGTTCATTATCATTTCATACGAGAAAAGGTCCTTAAAGGAGATATTGAGATGAAATACATCAGGACAGAAAATCAAATTGCTGATTTGTTCACCAAAGGACTAAACACTACGCAGTTTGAGAGCTTGAGGGATCAACTTGGCATGGTTGCAAGATCTGCAATAAGATAGAGTAGTCGTTGAGGGGGAGTGTTGAAAAGTCAACGACTCTCTAGAATCTTCTAGAATCTTCTTTATTAAGTTCTCTAGAATCTTCTATAATCTTCTTTATGAATTCTAGGAAGTGTAGAATTCTCTAGATAGAGTATTGAATGAGAGTTAGATAGAAATACTCTAGAATGTAATAGATGTGAGAATAATCTAGAATGTAATTAATGTGGAAGGATCTAGAAACACTCTCATCTCCTTAGGCTAGCTAGTATAAATAGAGGTGGATGGACACAACTCCATCACCACCAAGAGAGTGAAGCATCCTCAAGAGTGAGAGTAAGAGAGACTCCCCACCTTTGTACTCAATATTTTACATTAATAAAATTGTCTTTTATTCCTCCAAATCTCAACATCCTGGAGTTGTAAAACAAAGTTTATCCCTCAAGGATGAAAAGTTTATCCCCTACTCCCCTAGTATTGTATGATCGTATCTCTTGGGAGTGACGGAAGTGTTGGTTTCAATATCACTTAGTATGAATAGAAGTACTAACAAGTAACAACTAAATTAAAAAAATTGCATTGATGAGTAAAGAATACTAGCTAGCGAACAAGAGATATATTTTGAGAAGAAAAAAAAGACTTTGAAATACTAAACTATGGAACATGTGAATGAAGAAAGCAAAATAGAATACTAAAAGGTAAATTCAATGTGACTAGTAACAATAAATTAAGTAATTAAAAGTGAAGTCTAGATTTGGGATTAAGGATCTTGAATGTCTTTGATTATGATTTATGAACAGATATGGGAAATTTTCACCGATCTAAAGATACTAAGATATCAATTCTCGTAGACAAGAAAGTAATATTAATTCCCCTAACAAGTGATATTTCTAGACTTAGTTTAGGGCATGTGTGAAGCATGAGCTAAATTAATTCTAAATTCATAGTCAAGGAAGAATTTAACTTCCAAAAATCCAAGTGAAGTGATCAATTTCACAAATTACTCATTCAATTTCATCTCAAACAACTAGCCACAAATATTGGATAAGCTTTCTAATTTAAATTCAATTCAATATTGGATAAAACACAGTAATCCTTCAAAAAAGGAACACCTACTAACCTTAACTTTATCCAAATCCAAACCCCGTAGAGGTTTAGCCTATACTACAAAAAACGCTCAAATACTCACAGAGTATTAGCGATGGTTCTGTAACTAAAATTGTCACCGCCACACCCAGCCCTCGATATGGTTGGATGCTAAGGTTATCCACCATGAGTTCAACCAAATTAAAACTTAATATTCAAATTAAATAGCATTATTTAATCTCAGTGAAGCTGCACTATAATCTTCTAAAACGCCCTCGTGACTCATCAAACAAAGGGAGGAAACACACAAAGAGTAAAATTAGCGAAAGCTAAGTAAGTAGAACCCAAACCCGTAAAATAATATAATTTTTCAAAAAAATAGTTCTTTATACTATAACATAGATTCAAAATTCCATTTACTTTCCAAAAGTATATTTTCATATCAAAAACATCATTTATGATCCAAAACAACTTTATAATTTGAAAATCGTTTTATAATAAAAATAATATTTATAAGCTTTAAATAATTCATATCTCCATAAAAAATGGGTTATCACTTTTCAAATCATCACTTTCCAAGGTTTAGCCTAGCCCTTCTCCGGCGGCGGTCTTTTTGGGCCGTGGGTTCCGGCGGCTTCGGCCGATTTTTCTGGCTTGAGTGGTGTTGCGGTCGGGATTCCTGGAGTATTCGATAGTGTGGGGCTGACTTTTGTGGAGTCCTTGTTGCGTTTTGTTTCCTCGCGGCATGCTTGCCTTCTGCGGCCTGTCAAGTTTGATTTCTCGAAGGTCGGGTGACGTGCACTTTGTCGTGAGTGCACTCAAAATAATTTCAACACTAGCACTTATACGTAGTATAGGTGAAGTAGAGTTCGTATCCACAGGGAAAGGAATAACTTTCTTTTTATATAAATAGTAAGTAAAGGGGGGGTTTTGATTGTTGAGTGATTTAATTAAATTAAACACGAAGATGAACGAGTTATATGGGATTTAATTCAAAGATAAAAGTGACTTGGCATTGCTACTTTCCACTTGTTGATACATTTTAGTCGATCATTGTTATATCTATAACTTATCTCCTCTCGAATACTCAATCGAGGAGTATATCCAATTCATCGAGGATAGTTATTAACAACGACCGTTCATTAATAACCCTTACTATTAGTCAAGTATAGAACAAGCGCCTGTTAATTATCACGATTAGGCTAAGATAAACGATAAATTTAAAGCAAGAACACAAGAATTTACGTGGTTCACGCAATCGGTGTGATTACGCTAGTCCACGGCGAACGAGAGAGGGATGTATTATTATTCCAGCGTCTGGTATGTTTACAGATACATTAGGGATGTTTAAATAGGTTTAAGAAAGCCTAAATATGGGTTAAGGCCGCAGGCCCAAAAATTAATCCCGTCATTAATTTTTCCCGTATACTCGATCGAGTATACATACATACTCGATCGAGTATAGATTCCAGAATTCTGCCCGAGTAGTGTTTTTACACATACTCGACCGAGTATACCTCCATACTCGAT